ATACCCCCAGCTTGGCTAGCAAAAAGTAGATCCACACTGAGTCAGCGTGGGTTTGTGTGGCCTAGCACCAGCTCTTCCACATATTCTTCTGCAGAGTAAATTTGTATCCTCTAGCATTCAAAGTAGGTACTCTATCACTAAACAGCAGCCCTTTCCTAAAGTGCCTGGGTGAAATTAATCCGTGTAACACCCATTATTCTAAGAACCCTCTTTTGGCTTATAAATTAAAAACAAGAAATGTGAATGAAAATGACATGCTATTCAATTTTCACCCTTTTTCCTTTTTTGGAATTCAGTTTTTAAAGTCTCAAGTTAAACTTCAGCTCTGAAGGACAACTCTGGTTGATAGTCCAGCTGGTGCTTAGAGGAAGATTACTTTTTGTTGGAACATATGGAAGGGCTGTTAGCCTGCAATGAGATTATTTTCTGATACAAGGAAGAGATAGAGGGGAAGGAGTTCCTACACTTTTAATAGCTCAGGATAAGAGTCCAGAAACTTCAAACTTGAGTTCTCCATTCCTGGATTGGATATATAGCAGCCCCATCTTCCTTTGCATTCTTTACCCAACCAGACTGCAAGCACAGGAGGCTGTTGCTTGGGCCATTCTGGGACTGCTGGAGAAGAGGGAGTAAACTTGATGAAGCAATTGCAGCCAACATACGCATGGGAAAGACTGGGATGAAGCAAGAGCCAAAGACACAGCAAAACGTCTTGAATTGCCTTCAAGCAGGCATGAAGGAGGAGGACAGGGCTCCTCCAGAACTAACTTATATCAAGAAGAAAAAAAAATACATGAGCCTTTTCCAACCTTTCCCTGAAGAAGCAAGAAAAGCAGAAGTCTCCTTCCCCAGCAGATTACAAAGATAGCAGACCATCCTATGCGTTCCTATTCCAAAGTCGCTTTCAGTTCAGCAAGATAGCTTTATATAGGATAAGGCTGCAGTGCTATCTGGAAGTAAACCTTACTGAACTCAATGTGGCTCACTTTTGAGAGGATATACTCAGATTTGCTCCATAAAGCTCTCAACTGTGTAAACACAGGAGCTGTAGAGAAGTCATTAGCAGACATAGCCAAGTATCAAGACTGAACCTAGGTCTTGAGACCAAGATCCAAAGTAAAGTTACCAACTTACAGGAGAAAAACATTTAAGTAGGTTTTTCTTGCTTTTGGGCTCCCCCACCCCAGCTGGAAACTCCTTGCATTGGAAAGCTAACATGCAACCTCTAAGGCGATTTCTAGAGAGAAAATACAGAACAAGAATATAGGGAGTCTACAATTTACAACTGTTCATTTAATCACTGTTCAAAGTTGTGATGGCACTGAAAAAGTGACTCATGACTGGTCCTTGCATTTATGATCACTGCAGGGTCCTAATGATCAGAGGTTTGGCAACTGGCATATATTTATAATAGTTGCAACACCCTGGGGTCATGTGATCACCATTTGCAACTTTCTCAGAACGCTTCCGACAAAGGAAATGGGGAAAACTGAATTCACTTAATAACCGTATAATTCAATAAATGACTACAGCAAAAAAAAAAAAAAAAGTCAGAACATTGAACACAATTCACTTAATGACAGCATTGCTTAGCTATGGATGTTCTGGCTCCAATTGTGGACATTCATCAAGGACAAGCTGTATACAAATTCTAGTAGTGGGAGAAGACAGTCGAGTCTAAAGACAGTTGAGGTTGCATTCCAAGTTTGGGATTTGGGAGAATCTTTCTTTATAGGTTTGAGGACTTTTTTTTTTTTTTTTTGTAACATGGCTTTTTTTTTTTTTAAGAACCTAGACTATGCTTTTCATCCGTTTCTCACTTCAGAACAGAAGGAAACCATGCCACTGGTTTTCAGCCATCAGGGTCAAAAGGTCCCCAACAGGTTGTACACCTGTGGATTAGAATCTGCAGAAAGTGAAACGTTCACAGAAAAAAACAATTGTTTTCAGATAGAGGTCTCTTTGTACTTCCAATCAAAAGATGTTACACAGCTATTCTGGGTTTATTTCCCCACCCCATTTTAAAGTGGAATTTTTTTAAAAAAAAATGGCAGAAAAAGTGAGAAAACAGAGGAAAGTTAAGAGCGGGAGATGAAAACATTTTTGACCAGAAATAAGACAACTGTAGAATAAAAGTCTAGCACGAAAGGACTCATAGGCTAAATGCACTGTCCAGAAGAGCTTTATAAAAACAGGAGATAAGAGCTCTGTGGATTCCAGTTGCTGGGGAAGAAGAGTAGGGAAGACACACAGGTTGAGAAGAGAAGCCCAGGACTGAAGTCTAGAATCTTAGGACTGGATTTTGAGTTTCCGTTTATGCTCCTTGGTTAAACAATGATCAGCTCTCCAAAAACCGCAAACACCCCATACAATTCTACTTGAGATGAGAACGAATCATATCAGCGTTTGGCACTTAGGATGGAAAGAAGGTAGCTGAAAATATGAAACATGCTGGGGAAGCCCCCAAGATTTTCACCTGCTACTTTGATCCCTGCCCTTGAGGAGCTCATGGCTGAATATCACCACCACATACAAAAAAACCCAGAATCATCACATTATGCAAGCAGGCTTTAATTAAATATCCTGTGGATGGGCAAATATTAGATGCACTGTTTATCTGTTAATGATAGAGATGCAAGAAAGAGAGGGAAAAATGTTAGGGAATACAAGCAAGATAACCAGCAGCCTCTCCCATTCATGAATTTATTAGTCTTCCCTTTTTCCAAAAAGGAATGATTGGTATGAGCCATCAGTAACATCTGCCTTATATTAGCCACAATGATTGCATTTAAAAACTTCATCTAGTACCAAATCTATTCCAATAAGCAGATCTCAAAACTTAGTTGAAATGTTTCTCGGCCCAGTTATCAAAAATTCTCTTAAATGCAGATGTTCTGAGAGGAAATCAGGCTGTTATACTTCATTAATAGCAGGAGAATATAACCTTTTATTTTTGCTACTGAATGACTGGGTTGGTTCTCATTGCCCCCATGCTTTAATTTTTAATTGTATAGTTTGCTAGGCAAACTATAGCACAAAACGAGGCCAGAGCATCCACTGAATGCATCGGGGCACGTTGCTCAATTATGGGTCCTCACACACTCTCATTCCCAGGAAGAGGTCCTCCACATTTCTGAAGATCCTTCTTCTTGACCACCTGACCAATGTAAATGTATCTTGTTTGGGAATCCATAACAACCCTAACAATAAAGCATTATATGTCTCTCTACTAAGTGCACACCCAGCACTTACCAAAGCCTGAAGTATGTTGACTTTTTCTTTACCACCAAGTTATAAAATCATGTATCAGGCAAGACTAACACTCATATGCTCCTCTCAAGCTTGCAACAAGAGCAACATGCTACCCTGACCCATCTTGTATATAATGGAACAGTCTCAGTACAAGCCACAGAGGACAATGGCTGAAGATGGAGAACTTCTGCTAATCAGCAGAGTAGGAATACTTTCTCCTTATCAAGAACACAGTCTTGGTAAAGCATGCATATTTGTATGTGCACACTGGAGACTTTTTAAAAACAGAAGGATCTTTTAAAACATACTAATTGAGAGAAACTGGAAATAACCAGAAAATCTCTTAGAAAAAGCAAAACAGTGATTAGCTACAACTTTTCATTCAGAAAAGGTACATGGTCCCCTAAAAAAAATGACATGGACAGTTGGCAATCTCTGTACATATTGCTCTTTCAATTCTCATCCCTGGGCCAATAATGGGTATTGTAGTCACACATGTTTGGGAAAATCACAACAGTTCTAGTTTCAAAGCATATTAAAGCCAAATTGAAATTCAGTTTTTTGGACCAGACAATATAGGAGAGTAGGACAAAGAGACCAATCAAACTTTGGTGTAAGAAGGGCCAGACACTATGTCCAGGTGAAGTATATAAAGTCCAAAGCAAGTAAATCCCTGGATGATTATCATACTGTCTTATATAGCCCCCAAAGGATAAGTAGATGTTTAAGTGCTGTGTCTCTGTTACTAATGACAATCAGGGCCATTTACCTAAAAGACAAGATCTTTCCCTCTTCCAAATCAATAAAACAAACCCTGAATTATGGTGAGCTACAAACATAAAAAGAAACAAATGGAGAGAAGCTAGAGAAGAAAAACAGAGATCTAATAAGGGTTTCGAACTCTTTAAACTCTTTAAATGCTAATGCATAAAATCAACATAGAATTTCAGATGGCTGAGGCCAGTGAGTCAAGTTTTATGCAACAAAGTAAAACTAAAGTATGAAATTGCTTGGATTTCCTGGACCAGAACACGTCAATTAAATTTAGCTGGAAAGGGGCACCCCAACAGACCCTGCTATAGGGACTCCACTCAATATTACGTGTTTGCATTATAGATGCCTAGGCAGAGGGTGTGGTGGGATGGGGTGAAAGAAACCACCACAGCCTCCCTCAACTGTGGCAGATTCCAGAGGTGGACAAACTACCGCTTCCATCATCCCCCACCAGCATATCCCATTCTTTCACCGCTGGGGATGACTGACTGTGTAGCAGATTCGAACGCCGGCATTCTAATGTTCTTACTGGGAAGTGAGAGTCCCACCGAATTGAAAAGCGATTCCTGCGGATTCCAGAAAACGCGCAAGTGGGACTTCAGCCTTCTGTTTCCAAGCAGCCAAAAGGGCTTCCACCCCACCCCACCTCACTCTCGGCCTTTCTACGGCTGCTTCGCTTTCTGAGCAGTTCAAGGCCTTGCCCCGTTGCCGTCCTCGGAGAAACGAAAGCTCAATCTCTCTCTCTCTCTCTCTCTCTCTCTCTCTCTCTCTCTCCCCCCGCCGCACAACTCCTTTCTCCTGGGCGAGTCACGAGGCGGAGAAAATGCAGGAAAGGGGGACCCCCCCTCCCTGCACCCCGGTTGGGCTCGTCTTTCCTTTCCTACGCCAGTCGCCGTTTCCCCTCGCAGCGGGTTGCTGTCACCGTCCCCCCCCCCCCGAGGAGGGATCCGCCGCCGGCTGGAGTCGGCTCTTACCTTGGCTAGAGGCGCCGCTCTTCTCGGCCAGGCTCACGCCCTTCTCCTCTGCCGTTCGCCCTTTAATTCCATCTGGGGAGGAGAAAAGAGAATCGGAGTCGTGAGCGCTGGAGGAGCTGCTACTGTGGTTGCTCGTTTTAGCGGTAGTGCCCAACGCTGGGTGCAGTCCTGGCATGGGTGGACCCTTCCTCCCGGCTGCTGCCTCCCTTCGGGAGCGCGCAGGAGAGATCCGTTAAGCTTCTTTGCTGGCTTCACACGCACGGGTCAAGAAGGGCAGTGAACCATGGGGCCAATCCTCGTTGCCGGCGCTCGAGATCAGCGGCGAGGCTCGGCAATCCCAGCCAGCTCCATCCCTCAGAAGCCACAGCCGCTAACGCCTCTCCAGGCGGATCCACCTGCGCCCGGCCTCCGCTTCTCCCCACCCGCGCAGCCGATCGGAACCAAGACGCTGGAGGAGGACCGCGCGAACGGGGAACAACAGAAGAGGAAATAAAGAAAAAGAAGGGGAAGAAAAAGAGGAGAAAAAAAAATAGAAAGGAACCCGCACTGAGCAGGGGAGAAAGTTGCATTGTTTGCCGAGGGCGCTCGCGATTGGCCCAACCTCAACCAATGGCAGGGCACTCGGAAAGTTTGCTGTTCAAGTGCTCCATCTGGTGCTCGGGAGCGAAGCGCCCGCCTCCACCGCGAGCGGCTACTTCCAAAACGTGAAAGTCAAAGGACACTGATCTAGTTCAGCCACCCCCTCTGGATTAAAATGCGAGGCACGGCTTCGCGTTCACAACCCTAGTTTAACTTGTTGAAAACGTGGGAACGCGTCCCGCGATTGGCGATGCCTGCGTGCCGAAGCGCTCTGGCAGCTTTTCCCAGACACGGAAAAAAGGGGATAAAGTTTCCAAAGCCTCAACCTGGCTCGTGGTTATTTCGAGGCGATGGGCAGGGAGTTGGATTTGAAAGTGCAGACCAGCTATGATATTCTGTGGCCGAAGAAGCAAGGCCCGGAATTTCAGTCAGCTTTACTCAAAAAGCTTGAAATGCAACATTGGGGACAAATAGACTGAATTGAAGCTCACTGAGAGGTCAGCCGACCAAGCGAATTGTGATTAAAACCTGCCAATTTTAAACAGAATTTATTTGGAACCTTCCCATTGGTATGACTTGGAATAGCCCATAGGTTGCTTACAGGCAGACCTCTTTTAATCACCATTTGCAGTTACAGTGGTGATGAAAAAGTAACTTTTCCTCACATTTATGACCTGCAAAGCAAAGGAAAGCTGCAGTGAGATTGTAAGCAGTTTCACTTAGCAACCACTTTGTTTAAAAATCGAGTTGCCAGACCCAATCCTGGTTGCTAAAAAAGGACTGTTTGCATTACTATTTGCATTACTATTTTTTTAAAAAATGATGGCCCATATTCCTGCACTGCCGAAACAATAATGAATTCTTAAGTTTTAATTCTCCTTTAGAATCAAATCAAATACGAATCTAGAGAATGCTGAAATACACTAAATTTTTAATTTAACTTTTAACTGCAATCTCTTATTAAATATTAGGAAAGAGACTGCAGTTTTCTGGGAATTTTAAATTCAAATTTGTATAATTAAAGTGATACAATTTTCGTACCACTGTATACTTTGGTACACAATGACTGGTAGAAAGAACTATTTGAATAGAGATGGTGAACTGAAATCAGAGTTCATATGATGACATGCTGTAATAATGGCTTGTTGAATAAATTATGATTAGATGCATTTATATCTCACTAAGGCATAATGTAAGTCATGTTGATTTTATAGTAATTAAAAGTATTGTGTGAACCCAATTAATGTATGAAAACCATAGTTTAGTGGGTTGTGTAAATTCAGACAATACTTAGCAAAGCATAAAGTAATGTGTTGGGGAAATATAGTCTTTCTTCTAAATAAAACCAGCTATTTAACACTATTTTAAAAAATTGCAGGAAATATACGTGTATCAAACCTTTGAAAACTAGTATTTGTTACTGATTTTTTTGTCATGCATGGTCTTTACCAGAAGAGACAGTTTCCCTTCCACCACTTCCTATTTCTTTCTTTTGTAGCACAATTACATCATAAAACAGTCTCCAAAAGTGAATTTATCTTGAGATTGATTTTCTTCTTGAGATTCCAGGGAATAATTCAGTCTGGTAGATAGATAAAAATTCAGTTCGGCTAAACGCCAAGTCTATGATTTGGCTTACACTTGGTATTAAGCGATAATTCCCTTAATTATGTGTTTATACACCATATTAAACTATTAATACTTACTATAGCAATTTGGTTTACCCATCACTTTAGGCCAACATCAATTAAAACTACATTATGTTTTAGCATGATGTAGGAACTTAAATCTGTATTTACAGGATACAGATTTACCAGTCACAAGCACTAGTCAGTTTATATTGAACTACAGCATATGAAAACTCCAGCAAAAGTTGTGAGTTAACTGGATAACCCCTGGCAAGAATAATGAAGCTGTAAACTAAAGAGTTGGCTTTCTACTCATTAGGATAAAAATTAACATCAATCAACGGTGCTGGAAGCTATGATTAGAGGCATGTAAAGAAACCCTAAGAAAGATCTTTCCATCCCCATTTCAGTGCTGGGGAGTCAACCAGAAAAACCAATCGCTTTAGTGAGGGCAGTAATCAGCACTGGATCATTGTTTGGGTCTTCAAGGACTCAGATTTTTCACTCATGGAACTGACCGATCCCAGGGGGGATAGTACTGAAATCATAATCCCTCCAACTTTACAGTCTCTCAGCGTGACATTCCCTAACTTGATATATTGTAGATTTAAAAAGCCAAATCTCCTCTCAGCCTGCATTACAATTTCTTCCCCAGCCATTTTGTGCAATACATCTGAAATACTTTAGGTTCAGAAAGGATTTGCAATAATCTTTCTTTGTCGCTCTCAGAAAAAGCGATGCCAAGAGGGAGAGGTAGTGGGTTAAAAGGAACCAGGTAGAAAAAAGATCCCACTGTAGTATTCTGCCTTGAGAATGACTTGCTGAGCCTCTATTACAGGTCTATAAAAGCAACTGAAACATGTTTAAACAAATAAACACATTTCCTCATCACTTTTTAAGGTGCATGAAATATCTCTACATTTTCATTTAGCAAGAGGCTTAGTGAGCTATGCTTATCTGAATCATTTTTATCTTGATCCCCGCCCCCTCTTTCTGCCACCTCTCCCTTTCTTTTAATAGAATAACTGGATGATTTTGCTGCAGGAATATGAATGTTTAATTCACATATTATGGTTTTGCTTCATATGCTGTGAACTCAAAACACTATGGCTAATGGCCTAATATATTGCTCAAACTCAGCCAATTGTGGTTTATATCGTGTCTAAGCAAACAATGGCTGAATTCACACACCATGAAAATTTGCTCGTTTTAACCATTTTCTTGAAAAAACCATTGTGTTCCAGCTCATTCATAACAGTAAGCCATTAACCATCATACACAAACCACAATGGCTGGGTTCACAGAGTATATATGGTAAGCTAAACCACACAAATCATATTATGCTACAGCGCATACAAATTTGTTCTTATTTTGGGGGAGAATATGGATCAGGAAACGGAAGGCGATGGAATCAGAAGGAAGCTTTTAAAATCATACCGGATGCTAAGCATTAAGATTTCATTGTCTCTCTTAATCTTCCCAAATAAAGAATCCAAGTATGCTTTGTTTCACTACTGTCATTTCCTGTACACAACCTCCAAGGGACTCAGTCACTAGTGACATTTCCTTTCAAGCGGTCACCTCACTGACATTTGCTATGACCTACTCGTCAAAACTGAAAGGAAAGCTACATTTCAGCAAAAGAAAGAATCATAAAATTAGCACAGGAGGTTCTACATTACTACCGTAGTTATTCTCCTGGAGAAAAACATGGCATGCAAACACTGCTTGATTGGAATATCCCAATCAGAGTAGAATTACACATCAGGGATGTGATTAGCAGGGGAAAAAAGCATTCCAGGAAAAAGGATTTTTTTAAAAAAATCTCAAGATGTTAAAATAAAAAAGCAAGGACAGCATAAACCAAAGTTAAAGGCCTGCTTTTCATAGTTAAGGTCCCTGTTCAAGGCTCTAGCTCCTAGATTAGCAAAACAAATTAAGAAATGCTTGAATGTATCTGCCAATAGTAAAAGCATAAAAGGCTTCTATGATACCGTAATTTGAATGGTAGCAGAGAAAAATAGTTATTTCTGTCTGAGCACCATTTCACCTCCAAAAAGTCACTATTCCTAAAATGGCTTTTGTCCTGTAAAAAAACCTGCCGTTTAATTCCTCCTAGAGCAAATAGTAAACCAGAGAAGAAATTTTGTGGAGTAAAAGACATCAACTTTCTCCCTCCATCCACCTCCATCAGCCTATTTATGAAACCTATAATCTACTCTATTCCTAATCTGGAATTGAATTCACTAATTAGGATTACTTTAAAGCAGGGGTGTCAAACTGCCGGCCCATGGGCCAGACACATCATCCGGAAGCCGCACCCACCCCATTGCCGGCAATGGCAAAACCGTCCCGATACATCGCAAGTTTGACATGTCTGCTTTAAAGGTATTGCCTTCTAATCTAGATCAGTTCCTGGTGATTTACAGGTTTAGATCCATACAGGTTTCATGGCATGACACAGTAGCTTGATATTTCTTTCCACAACACCTGTTCCACTTCCCAGTTCAGCCTAAACCCTGAGTTTTCCACAGGGCTTCCCATGCAAATATTAACAAGGCATATCCTTGTTTTGTTATCTAGATCAATCCAGGTCAATCAGATTAATTAAAAAATAACTAATATAAATAACCTCCCAAAAAATACAAATCCTCATCAAAGTTAAGATTCTCCAAAACTTCTACTTTAAAAGGAAAAGAGAGGGAAATGCATAAACTTCATCCTTAGTGGGTTTTAAATGAACATTAAATCAATAGACAGCTGTATCTTCAAACCTCAGAGTTTAATGATCAGGAAATAGAGATAAACTTTACATTCTAATTACAAGCTGCTGCCTCTTAATCATAGTTAAAGGATGCCCTATCTTGTCTCCAATGAAACTCATGTCATTTCAATTTCATAGAACCTTATCTACTTCACCCTCCTCCTGTCTCTCATAAAATTGTGTAAGGCATTCACAAGACTTTCCACCCTCATCAAAGAAAAAGCACTGAAGCTGACAAACAGTAACAATTGCTTATGGTAAAGAAAAACAAACATTAATGTATCTATGTGTGTAGATTAAATGGCAAGCAAGAATGCTAAAGGTGTGGTTTGGGCCTTAATTACATTTATGAAGAATAGTATTCTTCCCCAAAAAGTCATTTGTTAGAAACAGTCTATTTTTACCTTCATTCACCAACTTTCACCAAGCTGTTTTCAGAATAATTCAGAAACATCTACAGAAGAGACAGGGTAAAAGAAAAACAAGATGGTAGTCTTGATTGAAGTCCTACCTCTTTTTTATGCATGGGGCCTGTTAAAAAGTGGGCTGCTCCTAGTCTCAGATTACCTTCTGAAACAAATTATACTTCCGTTTCCCAGTAAATGTGTTCAGGAAAATGACAGCCAAAATTTATCATTATTTTAAAAACAATAATAGAAAATCTCTTGCCATTATTCTAGCTATAAACAATAAAAAAAGGAACCCAGATACACAGAATTTATTGAGTTACTCTTCTCATCCTGATTCAATGTTTATTTAGATTTGGGCTTTTCAAAGTTTGGAACTTTTATCCAAGTTTCCTGATTGTGCCAAAATAAAAAAGAACTTTTTCACTGGCAAGTTATAATACACTGCCATTTAGGATACCAGAAGGGTATTCCAGAAGCCAAAAATTTTGCCAATCCAAGTTTGGATCCAGGAAATGTATAGTGTTGAACCCATTAAACATATTGTGTAGTTGGAAACTTGCATAGCCCCTTCTTTGTATACTTATTCCAACACAAATTCTTCTAAATTCGACAGCATTTTCTTCTAGCAAACATGCTTCAGATTATATTCTTAAGGAATTAGTCTTCAGTCTTATGTATAATGTATTAATAGCTCCTACTTTATAAGGTTTTCAAAGAAGGAACATATTTCCAGCAAGAGTCTGGCCCTTATGTGAATGATGCCTTTGATACAGTAGCCTTTTTATTCTTGTGTTCTATTATTTAGTTATGTTTTTAATGCTTTTTTTTTATTATGTTGCACTCTATCCAGAGTCCATTAGGTTCAGGGTGGGCCATAGTGAAACTTGTTTTAATGGGAGAAGGGAAGTGCAGATTTAGTAAATCAGAGAGTGTGTTGCAGGACAATGCAATTACTGCAAATTACATCATTTGCTCATGATGTAATTACATTACTGATACAATCTTGGGAATTACACAGATATAAATAATTGATAATGCTATGGAAGTGATATAAATCACAATGGCATTTAATCCATTGATTGCAATATTTGTTGCATCAAAACCTGGGCATCTGAAGAACCAAAGGTTAGTGTTACTAAAAAGGAAGACTGTTGTCTTTGCTATTTCTTTCTCCATTCTAACTATCTCTGTTGAAAGCGTTGTGCAATTTTTTTTTCTCCAGTACAGCTCTTGTATGTGATAATTCTCTACACCACCCCCAAAGCAATAACCTAAGATGGTTAGACTGGAATTCGTATCTTCCCAATATAAACCTAAAGCTCCAATTTGAGACATCATTTTTTTCAGTCTCCAGAAACAATTCCCATCCACACAGAAAGAAAGAGCTACCAGATATGAACGTCATGTGAATAA